CTATTAACGCTAGCGCAAAAGTTTTATATGGAAATTGTAGATCTCGTCATTCTCTACAAAAAAGATCTGATGCAATTTTCCCGTATCTCCAACGGTTTGAGAGTTATTGGCAAAAAACGAAAATTTCGCGAAATCTGAAGGGGTACCCCTTGGAAAAATCTCGGAAAAATCGAAAATTTTTTTTTGTTGTTTATTATTAGCAATGTTCTTCCGACGTCTGATTTCTTTTTAAAAAATGCGTTTCTAAAGTGCATAAATTTTTGGGATTGACTGTATAGCCAGTACATCCTTAAAAAGAATGTCGACGTGGGTTTCGTTTGTAAAAATTTCCCACGAAGATTACACAGTGATGTTTCCATTCATAGAGGATCTGAAGCACCGGGAAGAGAAGGCGCAGCGCGCGCAAACCGAGTTGCGACACCTTCTGGAATCCTTAGCGGTGCTCGTCGGCGGGCCGAACAGATTCGTCGAGTCCCACGAGAATTCCATCAAGGATCGCGTCCGGGAAATCCTAGCCGAGAATAAGGACCAAGCTATTGTACTATTCAATTGTACAATTGGATCGGATACTCGTGGCTCGTTGAAAACCTTTCTATTCCGTAGACCATAGGGAATCTACGGGACAAGGTGAACGCTATCACGGAATCGAATACCCGTCAGAGCGATTTGATCGAGGCGACGGTGACGAAGATGCGCAGCGTCGAGGATGAACGCTCGTGTCTGGAGAGCAAAGTGCGCAAACTGGAATCGGATTTAACCACGTGCGAGCTGCAAAAGGAGTCCCTGCGCAGGGACAAGCAAACGGTGCTTAATCCTACGCTTATAAATTATCCCTTTCCTAACATTAATTATAGACGATGTAAAGATTCATATCATACTTTCTATTAAAAATAACTGAATATAAAAACATTTTATTACAACCCTTTCGTCTACAAAGGGTTAACAATTTCCGTTATTGATTCTCTGTCGTTTCTAGCTCATTACGTTTTTGGAACGGCTCAGCAAAGCGATGCAAATGGACGAAATCTCCGAGGAGATGGGACTGGACCTTCAAACGGAATCGCTGCTGGCGCGGGCCGAGCAGCTGGCCAGATTGGAAACCGACAAGCTCGTAGACAAGGTAAAAGACGCGAAACGGGCGCTCGTACACTATTCTTAATCGAATCGATGCCTAATCGTGCTCTCTGTTCTGTGTTTGCATCGCAAAGTACTCGCGGTGCAACTACACCATCTTACCGGGGATACGACGCGAGCGATCCTTCCACGAGCTTCCTTCTATAAAAGAAGTAAGCCAATTTGGCTGATCTCTTAGTTTCCAGACCCGTCGGGACGATCGATTCCGCTCTCGCGGTGGAATTTCCTATTCAGATGCTAATCGCGTCTCCCTCCTATGCGTTAAATACTTTTCAATACTCAGAATCAAGAGAACAATAAACGTTATAATTACTTTAATGCTTTTTATGAAAATGATTTAAGTCAGTAAAATAAAAATCGAGCTTTTATATTATATCTGCAGTTTATATTAAAAAATAATTTTTATCAACATTACTTTCACAATTCGATGAATAATTGAGAAAGTTTAACCCATTCGCTGCCAAGGACGAGTATACTCGTCTTTGGCAGGGTGTCACGCATTGCCAGGACGAGTATACTCAATTATGTATGATAATATATGTGCTCTTACCAAGAAATAACTTGGCAGCGAATGGGTTAATAAACAGATTGATGAGTGCTTCCCCTAAACGCATTTGACGCATAATCACATTCCATCAGGAAGTTCCACCTTTATCAGCACGCGAGTACGCGATAGAAACACGTTGATTTTCTCCCTCCTTCTCTCTTTTTATTTCTGCCCAGACTTCGGTGGTGTATCAACTGCAACGTCGCGTGAGAACCCTTCGAGAACAGTTGCAGAGGAGGGACCTTCACTTGGACCTGCTCCGTAGGAAACTGTCGCTTCAAGAGGATAGCGTGCGAATGAAGTCGCTGCTGCAGAGCGAGAGGGACGAAGCGAATCTCCGGTGCGTCCCATCACTTCCGGTTTCCTCAGATTTTTATGCGAAATAACACATTCATGATAGATCAATTGAAGAGCTGTATTTCAGATTGGAATTTCACGCATTGTTTAATATTTTTAGACACGAGCTGTACGTTTAATTTGGAACTGCGTTTTTATTCTCTGTCATAGTTAATGAGAAAACGTTTGTGTTCAAGGGCGAAGAAGCTATCGAAACAAATCGAACGGTTGCAGGTACAACTTTCGGAGGAGAAATCGAGGAGCCGGGAGTTAAGCGCGCAGCTGACCGAAGCCGCGGACTACAAGGTGAGCACGACGATGGTTATTCATCGAGAAATTAACCTATTGACCGCGGAAGTCGTGCGTGCAGTGAAATCATTTCTATTCAAGCTAATTGTTCGTTCCCGAGTCAATGGGTTAACGTATTCACCGTCGGTTGAATATAGAAAGTTCCCTCGCGAAACAGATCGCAGCTCTCGAGCGTAGCCGGAAAATCGAGGAGCTCCAGAAACGATTAGTAGAGAGCGAGATGCTGAGGACGCGGTTTAACAGAAAACTGACGATGTTGAAAGAACAGATGAGAAACATGACCGAAACTGTCGACCAGGAGAGGTCTATCAACGATCACTCGTTACAACTGCTCAGAGACGAGTTGGCCCAGGTCAAGCAAAATCTGTCAGAGATCACCAAGAGGGAATCTCAGGTATTTAGGTGCCAGCCGTGAAATCGTTCTTCCAATCGTCTCGTCGTTCTGAAACGATCAATTTCCTGCCTCAGCTGCAGAGCTTCCGCGTATCCGTGGTGAAACTATTGTCCGAGCCAATCTGCACGCCCGATTACGAGATAATCTCGCGGCTGCAGAAAATGGTAGCGGCCCATCGCGACTTCACGATGCTCTCGCGCAGATACGACGAACCATTCGAAACCAGTCCCTCGAGATGTACCAGGTACGTCAGCAGACTCCGAGTTTTTTACGCAAAATAAAATACACATATGTATTTCTTTTGCCTTTAAAAATTGCATCCACTTACTTTTCATGATCTCTGCATACTCAGACATAATTATTTCATGAATGCATCGAATCTGGCTATCGGAAAAGACTCGAGCGATAGACTAGTCTTTTGTTGGAACGATCTCTGTTTCAGCGTACATCCGATGCATCCTCCTAGATCGCCGGGATCGCGATGCACTCGCTACGAGGACACAGGATTCACCGATCCGTCGGATCTCCGCGACATCGACGACGAGTTTAAACGGCCGGTGCGGAGCAGTCTCCTTCCGTGACGACGGCCACGATTTCGATATTAAACTTCTCTTCTTTTTTTTTATAATATGTAAAGAATTAAAAATAATGAGATCCCTCCCGAATTCTGTTTCTTACATCATAACCATCGCACGACTCGTTCGTTCATAATGGAGTCCGGTACGTACACAGTATCGGCGTGGAGTGGAACAACCGCATTCCAGGATGCAGACGGTAGAAAGAGACTGAGAGGCTGTTTGGGAACCCGGCGAGGGATGGTCGTCGAGAGGTACAGGGGGGGAACGCAGCCTGTTACGTGGATCCCTTTGAGCCTCGAATCTTCCTGTGAACCTTCGTCACCGAAAAGTCGAATTCGTTCCGAATGACGAACTACGTGTAATGAAAGGAGAAGTTCGTCTTCTCTATTTAGAACGTATTATAAAGTGGTACTTTATATTATAATTTAAAGTGTAACGGCAAATCAAATCTATGTACGCATATAAATATATATTAATTGTACGCATACGCATATGAAGTGTCATTTGTTCATTTATGTCGTGTTAGGATTTGTCGTTGTACGATTTATAAAATAATATCTGCCACGGAGAAAATAAGTTGAATTTGCGAATAATTAATTAAATAATTGTCACGGGATAAAATGAAACATTATAGTATAGAGGAATAATATCGAGATCAAAATGAGATTCGGCTCGCGAGTAGATTTTCGTGTTTCTCCGGTGGGAAAGCACATCGGAATAACCGAGTGCAACTGGTTAACCCTGAACTTGGTCAGGAACGAACCACCACCTCTTCCTTCGAGGTATCGTGAATACCCGCCAGCTTTTGCCTTTTTCTTCCTTCGAGCTAGACGAGGCTGCGTTATCTCTCACGTATTACGAGAGGTTCCACTGACTCACGCATTCGCGTGACTGTCATTAAAATGATAAAAAAATATGTTTCCTTTCTTTAATGTAAAAAATGTTTAATTTCTTTTCTGTAATGATTTAGTCAGAGTTTAGGTCAGCATTAAATAATACAAATGAATTTTAAATGGTTGTATGACACACGAGAATAAAAGTTCAGAGATCTTTAATGTTTATTTAATAGATGATTGAATGTCTGAACTTGGACTTTGAACTTTTCTAACTTCCTTCGAATAATCTACGTGTTGCGAAGTATTCTTTGCTCAACGTTGGATCAACGGAATTTTACGATCCATATCCGCGTCGGCTCAGTACGAGATACGGGATGCACGAGAAATGCTGTTATCTACATAAGTGAGATATAGATATTGCGATAACCTGGTATAAGGAAACACAGAGTGAAGAATCGGGGAAAGAAATAGCAGATAGACGTTTATCTGATGCTCACTCAAGAAATATTTCTATTATATCATTTCACACATGTTAAAAGACTTAAATATTGATGGCCCATCTCAACTAATCGACGATCAACTCTGCTTATTTGCATTTGGACGCGGCACAAGTTTTATAATCGCAGGTATCAATTTCTTTAATACTGACGCCCATCCGGCCTCGGGATCCTGCAAAGTCAGCGTTACACGAACTCGTTGAACGAAATCGAGAGATTGCGGGATATCCTAGTTTCTTAATTTTTCGGTATATTAAAATGAGAAAATGTAAAGCTCGACTTACAGCCTCTGGCGATGGATCGGGCTCGGGTTCCGCATTGCTCAGAGAAATAAAAACGACCATGAAAATGACGCACGCAACACTGAACAAGAATCTCATGATGCCGTCGTTTACCACTGCTTCTTGTCCTGTTACTTCTTGTATGTAACTTTTGCATAACCCTCGGCACCGTTATTTATATAGCAAAAAGAAATCGTTAAAATTATCAGTGAAGCGATACGATTCTCATTTCGACCACGAAAAGCGTTAAAAAACGGACGTTAAAATGAAAATTCGTGAGGGATTCGTTTTATAGAATAGTTTCGTGCTGGACGGTAACAGCATCTATTAAAACTGGTCACGAAATTATGAATTCTCTGTTCTGTAAATAAGATTGGAAAAATCGTACATGCAGTTGTTATACATGTGTACATACATATTGTTGAGAGTATAATTCTTTTCATGCAATCATCATGAAATCATCATTATCATTATCAATGTAATTCCTCGTAATTGTTAATCTCTCGTAGAAATATTGAGCAATTATAGAATAAATTTAATTGCACTAGATAAGACAACAAACAAAGATTGATTGATTTGTCAAGAATTTTATAACTCGATCTGTTTTATACTGAGATGAAACTTGTAACTGAAAGACAGTAATAAAAGTGTCAGATACAATTGTCCTAGATTCCAAGTATACTTGAACGAAGTACTTATATACATTATTGTAATATGAAACAGAATTTATAAATGGATTTTTGCTCAATGACAGGATTGGATTTTCATCAATGGAGAACAATTTCGCAAGAAAAATATTGATATCGATGGCTGCTTATTTCATGTGAAATTGTTGCAGCAGAAAGATTCAATCGCTGCGGCACATATGTACTTCTTGTATAAATCCGATTTTATCACGAGCTGAACGTCCCATTTATCTATCAAATATCTGTTATCGTGTCGATGTTATCTGCTGCTGCAAAAAAAAGCAAAAAGATTAGTTCGATGTAAGATAAATTCTGTGTTTTGTTCGGTAATTCTCAGAGAGTTATGAGAAAAAATTGTTTCAAGTGGAACAAGAACGTTCAGTCATTTTCTAATAATTGAAAAGAAATTGTCGGAACACGGTGTGTAACTTGAACTTTGTCAAAATTAGCTTTTCCAGTGCGGAGGTCCTTCAGACAGAATAAATTATTTAATCCCAAATGTCGAAAAGAAAATCGATAATTGATAGATTATTATTACTATATAATATGTATATACGATAACCAGAATGTCTCTGTTATAAACGAGAAGATAACTGCAAAGACAGGTATGACAGAGGACGGACAGATAAAGAGTTATTAACGATACCTGATTTTTTCTCGTGAGCACGTTAATCGCGTATCGTCAAGGTAATAATATTGATTGGAAGTACCTATTCAGATAAGGGCACAGTTTCTCCTGATAAGCTTGGACAGAGTATTAATTTCTACTTCTCGACGCTCGGCAGCATTCGCGGTTGAACAGTTGTAGCATCAACTAATAGAATCAAGAACGATGAAGTCGTACGCAGTGTTATTGGGCATACTCTTTATCGGATTTACTGAGTTACAACCAGGTGACATATTCGTTCATTTAAACAAATTACTAAATTACTTAGATTACAATTTGAATTTTTCATTATATAATAAACATTTACTTTTAAATTA